TCCACAGGATTTTGTTTAATATATGGACATGAGGTGAGAGGACCACTAAACTAATTAACAAAAAGATAAACTAAGGCTCAGAGACAATGTTTCCAGCCTATGTTTCAAATTTCAGAGAGAAATAAACCAATGCATGTGAGAAGGCAATAAAACATTTGAAGGGTGCTGAACGACATTGAAACTCGAGCAGAAAAAAGAGCCAAAGTTTGGAAATTTGATGCTGGAGCCAAGATATTAGTGTTCTGAAGCAAAGTATTTGGACACAAAATGTTAATTCTATTTCTCTCTTCACAGATGCTGCCAGATAACCTGAGTTTCTCCAGAATTCTCTGTTTTTATTTCAGATTTCCAGCATTCACAGTATTTTGCATTTAGATTAGTATTGTTACCTGTCTTGGAAACAATTAAAAGTTAGGTTCACTGGATGTCATCAAATCAAAAGGAAACTCATTGATGTGCAAGATAACACAGTGTGGAGCTGGAGCAGCACAGCAGGCCAGGCAGCATCAGAGGAGCAGGAAAGATAACGTTTCGGGTCGGGACCCGTCTTCTGTTGTGCTCCTCCAGGGCTGTGTTATCTCTGCCTCCAGCATCAGCAGTTCTTACTATCTCTCATTGATGTGCAATATATAGTGAACATTCCAGACATGAAAAGGAATCAGAGTATGTTATGTTAATATGTTAAAGAAATAACACATACTTTTTGACATGCATTTTTTAAAATTCATTCATGAGATCTGCGTATAACTGGCTGGGCCAGTGTTTATTATAATCCCTAGCTGCCCTTGAGAAATTAGTGGTGAGCTGCCTTTTTGAACTGCCGCAGTCCATTTGGTGAAGGTACACCCACAATATTATTTGGAAGGAAATTCCAGAATTTTGACCCAGTGACACTGAAAGAACAAGGATATACGTCCAAGTTAGGATGGTGAGTGTCTCGGAAGGGAACTTGCAGGGGGTGGTGTTTCCATGTGTTTGCTGCCCTTGTTCTACTAGGTGGAAGTGGACAGAGGTTAGGAAGGTAGTGTCTAAGGAGTCTTCATGATTTTCTGCAGTGCATCTTGTAAGACAATGACACTATAAGAAATAGGAACAGAATTAGTCTATTCACCCCTTCAAGCCTAATCCGCCATTCAATAGGATCACGGCTGCTCCGACATTCCTCATGTCCACTTTCCTGCATTTGCCCTGTAACCTTTGATTCCCTGACTGATCAAGCATCTATCTCAGCCTTAAATATACGCAGGAACTGTGCTCCCACAAATCTCTGTGGCAAGGCATTCCAAAGACTTACAACCCTTTGAGAAAAGAAATTCCGCCTCATTTCAGTAGTAAATCGGTGCCCCTTTATTCATAGGCTCTGGTCCTAAACTCTACAATAAGGGGAAACATCCTCTCAGCACTTACCCTGTCGAGCCCCTAACGAATCCTATATTTTTCAATGAGATCACCTCTCATTCTTCTAAACTCCAATAAGCAGTGTCCCAATCTGCTTAACCTTTGTTCATAAGACAATCCCTCCAAATCAGAGATCATCCTAGTGACCCTACTCTGAACTGACTCCAATGAAATTATATATTTCCTTAAATAAGGAGACCAAAACTGTTCATGGTAATCTACACGTTGTCTTAATACAGCTTGTACAATGGCAGTAAGACTTCTCTACTCTTATACTCTGACACACTTGAAATAAGGGCCAACATTCCATTAGCCTTCCTGATTTCTACCTATTTGCTAACTTTCTGGGTTTTGCACACAAGTTCCCCAAATCCCTTTGTGTTGCAGATTTCTGCAATTTTTCTTCATTGAAATAATTCTGTTCTTTTTTCCCCCTTCCAAAATGAACAATTTCACATTTTCTCACATTGTACTCCATTTGCCAACATTTTGCCTACTTACTGAACATATGTCTGTATATAGATGGCCATGTGGTGAGTTACTCAATGCAGCATTCTTCACCTCTAATTAGCACTTGTAACCACAGCATTTATATGTCGAGTTCAGTTCAGTTCAGTTTCTGGTTCAATGGTAACCCCATGAATGTTCCTGGCCACTTGTCAGCTGAAACCTAGACATTGTACAGATCTATTTTGCAAATGAATGTGTGATTCTTTGGAGTTAAAGGGGGTATAATTTAAGCTTGCTAATTAATAGTCCATTTCGCCACAAAAACAAGTTGCTAGAACTCAGCAGGTCTGGCAGCATCTGTGAAGAAAAAAAGTCAGAGTTAACGTTTCGGGTCCATTGACCCTTGCTCAGAACACAGTCCATTTCACCACTTGTTTAATGATAAATTTGTTACTTTTTTTTTGTTTTGTTTGTTTGTTGATGTAACCTCATGTCAGCTGTCAAAATCAGACAAATCAACCATCTTAGTGATTAAATTAAGTAGTGATGACACTTGGAATAGTGGAATAGTACACTTTTCCCATCAGAGTTGTTACAATGTCACATGGAGTGAATAAAATTGGTGGAAGGCTGGCATCTTTGATTCTAAGGACCTCAGAAGGAGGGCAAGATTATCCACTCAGTACTTCTGGCTGAAGATGCTTGCAAATTCTTAAGACTTGTCCATTGATGTTGCAATCAGTTGTGGAGCCTTCTCCATCAGTGACCTGTTTGTTTGTCCACTATCATTCTTGACTGGATGTGGTAAGACTGCCGAGCTTAGATCTGATCCAGTGTTCATGGGATTGCCTAGTGCTGTCGGTCACTTACTGTGTTTGGCATGAAAGGAGTCCTGTGATGTAGCTTCACCAGATTGACACTTTGTTTTTCTGCTTCTTCTAGCATGCCCTTGTGCACTCTTCATCAAACCAGTGTTGATCTACCGACTTGTTTCTACTGGTAAAGTGAGTAATATGCTGGGCCATGAGGTTACGGTTTATAGTTGAATATCATTTTACTGCTGATGGTCCATAAGCACCTCATTGATGCACAGTCTTCTGTCAATTTTATTTGGTCATGGAATGTGGACATCACTGACCTAGGCCAGCATCTAATACACATTCCTAGTTCAGAGTCAATCATATCGCTGTGGATTTGAAGTCACATATCAACAGTGATATTCACAGATGAGTGTATTGGAGAAAGAACAATGCATATTTGGGTATAAAGTGATATGGAGTTAGGACAGCAACATGAAATTGATGCAGGAGATGACTATATTGAATGGTGCAGCAGATTTGAAGGACTGAATAGCCTGCTTTTGTCTTTATTTAAGAGATGCTAGGAATCCTACTGCAAGTGATTCACCTCCTGACTCCCCCAAGTCTATCCACAAAGTGCAAGTCACTTATTTAGATGGGTGCAGTTCCAACAACACTCAAGAAGCTTGACAACATCCAGGACAAAGCAGCCTGCTTGATTGGCACTACATCCACTCCCTCCATCACCTATGCTTAGCAGCAGCAGTGTGTACTATTTACAAGATGCACTGCAGAAATTCAGACAGCACCTTCTAAACCCACAAACACATCCATCCAGAAGGACAAGGGCAGCAGATACATTGATTGATTGATTGACTTATTGTCATGTGTACTGAAATACAGTGAAAAGCTTTGTTTACGAGCGGTACAAGATCGAAAAGACTTAGAGGCATACAGTTACATTGCACGTTACATTATTTGAGGCTAAAGTCCATTCAACAGTCTGATAAAAGCCAGAAAGTCCCTGAACTTGCTCATGCATATGTTCAGGCTTCTGCATCATCTGCCTGATGGAGAAGGTTGGAGGAGGTCATTACCACGTTGTGATGGGTCTTTGATGATATTCGCCACCTTTCCGCAGCAGTGAGCCATGTAAATAGAGTCCATGGGTGGAAGGTTGGCTTCCCTGATGGTCTGGGCTGTGCATACCACCTTCTGTAGTTTCTTACTGTCCTGGGCAGAATAGTTGCCACACCAGGCCGTTATGCACCCAGACGCTGTGCTTTCAATGGTGCATCTGTAGAAGTCGGTGAGGATCCTAATGGACATGCCAAATTTCCTGAGCCGCCTGAGGAAGAGGAATTGTTGTGCCTTCTTGACTGTCACATTTACATGGGGCATCCAGGACAGGTTGTCGGTTATCATCACTCCGAGGGACTTGATGCTCTTCACACTCTCAGTTCCATTGATGTAGATGGGGGTGTGTTCCCATCCTTTCTTTCTGAAGTCGATGATCAGTTCTTTAATTTTGCCGATGTTGAGAGACAGATTGTTTTCATTACACCATATCCCCAAGCCCTCTATCTCCATTCTGTACTTTGGCTCAACGTTGTTAGATATTTGTCCCACTACAATGGTATTGTCAGCGAACTTGTCGATGGCTTTTATTCAGAATTTGGCAACACAGTCGTAGGTGTACAGGGAGTATAGTAGGGGGCTGAATATGCATCCTTGAGGGGGCTGTAGTGTTGAGTGTAATTGTGGAGGAGGTGCAGTTACCTATCCTTATTGATTGTGGCCTATGGGTCAGAAAGCTCAGGATCCAGTCAGAGGGTGGAACCAAAATCAAGGTCGCGCAGTTTTCACATCAGTCAGGAACACCATCACCTACAAGTTCCTCTCCAAGCCCCTCACCATCCTGACTTGGAAATATATCATGATTGGAAGCAGCAGCAGGTCAGCGGTGGTAGCTGGAGCTGCAAGGGCGGGGCAAGAGGCGGTTACCAGGGCAACAGGGGGCGGGGAGAGAACACCTGTCGGACGGGGCGGTTGACGGCAATCACGTGGCAGGGGCGGGAATGGATGTGGTTGCTGGAGCAACAGGGGGCGGAGCGAGAGGCGATTGCTAAAGCGACAGGGGGCGGGGCGAGAGGTGTTTCTAAAACAACAGGGGGCGGAGCGGGAGGCGGTTTCTGAAGCAACAGGGGGCGGGGCGAGAGGTGTTTCTAAAACAACAGGGGGCGGAGCGAGAGCTGGTTGCTAAAGCAACGGGGGCGGAGCGAGAGGTGGTTGCTAAAGCA